CGCCTGGATAATGGGATTTAGTTTTAAGGTTTCAGGACCCTCCTGGATAATGGGATTTAATTTTTTGTTGTCAGGACCCTCTTGGATAATGGGATGCAGTTTAAGACTTTCTCAGATAACTTGATGTAGCAGGAGTAACACCTTTAGAAGATATGATTTAGATTTTTAAAGTCGTCATTTAACTAGGAGTTTTCAGGACCCTCCTGGACAATGAGATTTAGCTTTCAAATTCATAGAGATATTTGGTAACACGATTCAATGCGCCCAGCATCAAACCGGGGCAGACGTTTTCTTTGTTTTGTTTATTTTGTGGAAATCAGGCACCCACCTGGAGAACAAGGGAATACAGTTCAAGTTTTCGGCAATCAGGCGCCCACTTGGAGAACAAGGGAATATATTTCAAGTTCAGCAATCAGGTGCCCACCTGAAGAACAAGGGAATACATTTCAAATTTCAGCAATCAGGCGCCCACCTGGAGAATAAGGGAATACATTTCAAGTTCAGCAATAAGGCGCCCACCTGAAGAACAAGGGAGTACATTTCAAGGTTCAGCAATCAGGCACCCACCTGGAGAAAAATGGAATACATTTCAAGTTCAACAATCAGGCGCCCACCTGGAGAACAAGGGAATACATTTCAAGTTCAGCAATAAGGCGCCCACCTGAAGAACAAGGGAGTACATTTCAAGGTTCAGCAATCAGGCACCCACCTGGAGAAAAATGGAATACATTTCAAGTTCAACAATCAGGCGCCCACCTGGAGAACAAGGGAATACATTTCAAGTTCAGCAATCAGGCGCCCACCTAAAGAATAAGGGAATATATTTCAAAGTTCAGCAATCAGGCACCCACCTAGAGAATAAGGGAATACATTTCAAGTTCAGCAATCAGGCGCCCACCTGAAGAACAAGGGAATACATTTCAAGTTCAGCAATCAGGCGCCCACCTGAAGAACAAGGGAATACATTTCAAAGTTCAGCAATCAGGCGCCCACTTGGAGAACAAGGGAATATATTTCAGGTTCAGCAATCAGGCGCCCACCTGAAGAACAAGAGAATACATTTCAAGGTTCAACAATCAGGCACCCACCTGGAGAACAAGGGAATACATTTCAAGTTCAGCAATCAGGCGCCCACCTGAAGAACAAGAGAATATATTTCAATGTTCAACAATCAGGCACCCACCTGGAGAACAAGGGAATACATTTCAAGTTCAGCAATCAGGCGCCCACCTGAAGAACAAGAGAATATATTTCAATGTTCAACAATCAGGCACCCACCTGGAGAACAAGGGAATACATTTCAAGTTCAGCAATCAGGCGCCCACCTGAAGAACAAGAAAATACATTTCAAAGTTCAGCAATCAGGCGCACACCTGGAAAACAAGGGAATACATTTCAAATTCAGCAATCAGGCGCCCACCTGAAGAACAAGAGAATATATTTCAATGTTCAACAATCAGGCACCCACCTGGAGAACAAGGGAATACATTTCAAGTTCAGCCATCAGGAGCCCACCTGGTGAATAAGGGAATACATTCAAGTTTCAGCAATCAGGCGTTCACCTCGAGAAAGGGAAAACATCTCAGATTACAATTCAAGTCGACAACAAAGGAATTCCACCAGGAAAATACAAGTCAACATGGCAACAAGAGCTGCAAGATCAAGTTTGAGGATATAGATAAGATTTCCTGTAATTCATAGATCATAGTTAGTCTAGCTTCTTTTATTTTATTATGGTGTAATAAGGGGTTCAGTAAGCAGTAGCACCAGCAGCAACAACAGTGAAATCACAGCTTCATAGTAGTCTCAGATTATAATTCAAGTTCGGCAATCAGGCGTCCACCTAGAGAAAAGGAAAAGCTTCAGAATGCAACTCAAGTCAGCAATAAAAGAGGCTCGCGGAAAGAATGTGAGTCAACAGTCCGAAGTGATCAACAGAAGTTAGTCACAGTAACGAAAAAAAACAAAAGAGAAAGGCAAGAAGTTAATCCAAATGCAGAAGTTGATGAAAGATGTGGGTTGCTCAAGACATGACCGAGATCACAAGCACTACATGTCTGGTCTTGATCCGAAAAGTTGAAGTAGGATGAACTAGCACCTGCAACTAGCAAGCGTCAAGGTTCAAATCTAAAGTCTACATGAAGAACCACTCAAGATTCAAGATCAAGCTTCAGAAGACTTATAGATAGGAATATTGTAACTCATAGTTGACAGACTTAGTTAGTCTTTTTCATTTTTCATTTTGATGTAATAACAGGACCGCGGACCAGAACCTCGGTGGAACGGCACCTCGACCGACTGTCCACCTCGACATACTCCATCTTCTCACTCACCTCTGAACTACACGTGGCCTGATTCCTTTATAGCCAAGGATATTTAGGTAGCTCAGATACCAGGGCTCGGTCACATTCCCCTCTCTTTTAGTTTTAGTCTCTCCAAATAAGGGTCAGGTCAAAAAACTTGTCTAGTCAATCTTTGTCTGAAAACTCTGCGCATTTTCAGTCAAAGAGGGGCAGCTGTAGACATGTTATTTTTGACCCTCCCCAAGATTTTTTATATTTTAGCACATAAATATTTAACTTAGGCCTAATATATCCATTTTAACTATTTTTGACTTCTTTACTTTATTTTCGTCATAAAAATGGAAAATTACAAAAAAAAAATTTAGTATGTATCTTTCATAAAAAAAAATTTAAAAAATAAATAAATAAAAAATACAAAAAATAGTACCTCATTTTTATCTTTATATAATTTTGAAAATACAAAAAAAACATATAATAGTTTCATGTTAGCTTTTGCATTGTGTAGTATTTTTATCTTATTTTAAAATGAGTCAATTAAGGTGTTAGATCACAATTTTAAGAGTTTTGGAGCCCAATTCTTGGCCCAATTCGGATTAGTCCATCAAGCCTATGAAACTTTCTAGACTCTTCTTTGAACAAAAACAAATAAAAAGGACCCTAAGGACTTAACACAAAAGACCTAGGGACTAATTGGCAAAATACACAAAATAATAACCTAAACCTAGACTCTACATAAATAAACACCATCAGCCGTTTTTCTACATTGAGGGACCTTTCATCATCTCCAAGCAGATAAGATCTTAGCCGCACACTCATGGCTGCTTCTTCTTCTTCTTGAACAAGAGAGCATGGAACCAAACACAAAACCTTAACACCTGAAATACACTGAAGAGAGGAGAAAGCCGCAACAGTGCAAAAACAGACCCCAGTACATGAGCTTCATCTTCCTTACATCTAAACAGCTATGAGAGGACCCTAGAACCAAGGATCTCCGTCGCTACCACTCCACCGGCGGCCACACGCACATAGTAGCTTTTCCCCGTTGCCATCTTTCACCAGCGGCGCGACCCCTGAACCTCGTCGCTACTCCTTCTGTTCACCCTCACAACGAGACCCCATCAGCCTTCTTCTCCTTCTTCAAAAAAAAACTTGAAAAACCCTAAAGCTAACGCCTAAGACGCAACAATAACAGCCGCAATTGCTCACCTCAGTTCATCTCCCAGCAGCTTCAACACACAGACACACACATATATAAATGGACATGGGAGGGAGATAGGGGAACAACAACAGAAAATGGAGGAGAAACAGTGAATTTTTTTAGAAAATACAGAAACAGAAAATGGAGGAGGAGGAACGGAGGGTGTTTGTTTGTCCGTCTCTGAGGTATTTTAATGTCTTGGAGGTACTCACATTAAGGTGGTCGTATTTGAGTTTTGAGTCCCGTCCAGAGGTCTCCGGCGAGGTTCTGTCAACCATTTCATCCGTGGTCCAGAATTGAAGGCTCATTTCTGTTTCGGAAAATTAAATCAGTGAAGTATCACATCTTTTCCTCATCATTATTTCCTTTACATCATTTTGGATGTTTGATTTCCATAATAAGTTGTCACTGTTATTTGTTTTGGATTGTTTAAATGCCGATTAGGAGCTTTTCTCACATGAGCTTTACCAAGTTCTATAAAATCCAGTTAATCGTTTTTAGTTTTAGACTTCTTTTGATGCTATGTTGATATTCAGTTTTGTCTTGTTAGCCTCATAGTTACAATCTAGTAGTAGCAATTGTGATTTTTAGATTGCGTTTGTTTGTTGAGCCATGCTAGATTAGCTGAAGGAATTTAGTTAGTTGTAATTGAATTTGGTTTAGAATTAGGGAATGCAAAATCGAAGTGGTTCGTGTGGCTTAATTTGGAGTTGAACCAGTTAATACTTAAAATATTAGTAACTCTCTAGAACTCGAGGTATGCCATAATAACCCACTGAATGAATGACCCTCATAATTTAATTTAGAAACCTCTTGATTATAGTAGATTGAGGTGTGTCGTGCCAAACAAAAATGACAATTGCATGTCCCTCGTTTAATTAATCTTATTTGATCCTTAAAATTCGAGGCGTGCCACCTATTGAATTTCCATGGCCCTCGCAAAGTTGCAAATGCGTAATTGCTTTAGGCGTGTTATTTTAATAAATTATTTTCCTAAACTCGAGTGCACATTTATGTGACCCAAATCAAAATCTCAACAATGTTATGATATGTCAAAAACCACGGGTGCATTTATGTGACGTGATTCGAGACGTGTTTTAATAACGTTGCAATTTTCTTTAAAAAATGAATAAAAGTGGTTAAAACTAAAATTTGCACATAGGTTCATAATTGTTTAAAATCAGGTAATTAAGCCGAATATAACAGTTGAGTGCCCGTGCTAGAACCACGGAACTCGGGAATGCCTAACACCTTCTCCCGGGTTAACAGAATTCCTTACTCGGATTTCTGGTTTGCGGACTGTTAAACAGAGTCAAGCTTTTCCTCGATTCGGGCTTCAACCGGTGACTTGGGATACCATAAATCTCCCAAGTGGCGACTCTGAATCTTTTAACAATAAATCCCATTTCGATTGTCCTTTAATTGGAAAAACTCATTTATACCCTTCGGGGGGTGTAGGTAAAACGGAGGTGTGACACTACGGACCAGTTCCTAAAGTTAGTATTTTGTTGTCCTTAGTTGAGTTGTAACTTTGTGATTGTTCTTATTGTATCTCCTAAACTGCTTAGCCAGAAGCGTTGATTAGGAACCCTTTTGTAAAATTCGTAAACTCTCTGAGTTTATGTTGTGACTAGGTTTAGTCATAAGTTAAAGTCTTTGTAACTAGATAGTGACAAAGTGGCTTGTGATAAGAGTATCACAAGTTAGTTACAGTCTTTGTAACTAGAGAGTGACAAAGTGGCTTGTGGTGAGAGTACCACAAGTTAGTTGAGTTGAATTCTATGTAATTGAGTCATTACAAAGTGACTTGTAACGGGTGTTTAAAAGTTAGTGAAGTTGAAAGCCTGCAGGTGTAGGTTGTGGTTTTTGTCCCTTTAAGTTGGGATTTTTCCACATAAAAATCCTGTGTCTCATTTATTTACAACTTTATTAGCATTCTCAACATAACATCATAGAGGACCAACTATTCTACTGATTGGTGGACTTATACAAACTAAACACCGTTATTTTTGTTTAAATTGGTTAAAACATCAAAACTTTTCGAATAAAGATTTCCACCAAAACACACTCTCATGATGTTTTAATGGAAAATAATTAGATCTTGCTACTCCAGTTTCCACCATATATGAACTTTAACTTTGACTTTTTAAAACAAAAAGAAAAAACTCTATCCCCCAACCCCCAAAAAAAAGAAGATAAAATAAAAATAGTACTCTCTAAATTTCAATTTATGTGAATCAATTTTGACCACATAATTTAAGAAAAATGAGAACGTTTGAACTTATGATTTAAAATAAAGCAAATCATATATATATTGTGTCTCTATAAATTATTATGTAAAAATAATTTTCAAATATAAAAAGATCATTATTTTAGACATGAACTAAAAAGAAAATAAGAACAATCAAAATTAAAACGGTGGGAGTATGTACGGACATATAATTAAATTAAAAGCAAAAAAGTGAGAGTAACACGGACAATATTCACGGAAAAGTGACGCCCCTCGTGAAATAGCCATAGGGGTGAGCCAATCCCCATCTTCCTCCCACAATCTGCCAGTCCTTTTTAAGTATTACTCCCACCATTTTCAGCTCCCACAAAGCAAAGTTACAGAATTAAATAGAATCAGAGAACAAGAGAGGGTCCAGACCATTAGAATCGAACAATCATCATGCCATCAGGTGCCAAGAAGCGTAAAGCTGCCAAGAAAAAGAAGGAATTGCAAGCAAAGGACCCTTCCAACTCTCATGGTACTTCCCTTAAATAGTACTTCTTCTTTTTTAAAATCTTTTTCATCAGCTTGTGGTTAGTTTTACTTAAATCATTGAGCAGTCTGTTACAGTTGTCAAGTGAATCTTACTCGTCTAGACTGAAGTAAATGTGATACTGTGCTTACGCTCTGTTAGTCCAATCTGGACACACCAATATGCCACTTTGTATCAATTTCTCACCTTTAAGAACTTTACAGCTTTGACTTGTCTCTCAATTGCTTTGTTATATGCTCTTGTATCGCTTACTTTAGTATATGTTTTTCCGTACTCATGTGTCTCGCAGTTATTCTCCAATTCATTGTCTTTTTAGTTTGGACGCACACATTTGTATATAAGAGTGTTTTGTGCTTGATTCATGATTGTATTGCTAAGAGTCATTTCCAATTTCTGAAATCAATGCCAACCCATGTTAATTTCGTTATTTTCTATTTAAAGTTAGTTTTGATATGTGGGTTTATATAACTTCTGAGTGATTGTAATTCACTTGATTCCTTTCTGAATCACTGGGGGATGAACCATACTATGGTAGGAGAAGACCTAAAGCATGATGGATCCGAGAGCCTGAACATAAATATTGAGCATGTTGAATCCGGGAAAGAACCTTCTGAAAAAGGCTCACGGAGGAGTTCCAGTAGTAGTAGTAGCAGCAACTGCTGCAGTAGCAGCAGTTCGGATGAAAAACCTGCTGTTGTTGACAAGAATTTCTTGGTTGATAATGCTCCACCTGTTGAATTAGTGAAGGAACCTGATTCTTTTGCTAATGACCAAGTCGTTGAGAACCTTCCAGGAGCAGATGCTCGTAAATCAATTGTGGAAACAGCCTCTTTATCTGACACAATTCAAGTGACAACGGGTTCATCTAATACTGATAATGTGAAATCACACACTGCGGAACCGGCAATGAAGGAAAATTTGGGTTTTGTGGATGGAAAAGCCACGGTTTCAGAAGTTCTGCTGGAATTAGAGAAAAGGATTGATGAAGCAAGTGAAACATTGCATGATGGTGCTATAGCAGCTTCAGATGCAAAAGTCTCCACGTTCAAAGAAGATGAAGAGAAACTAGAACTGTCTTACAATGCTCCTACAGTTGATGCCACTGTTCATCCAGATAATGTGAAAGAGACTCCCACTCACGAATGCTATGAGCATCAGGTCTTCTACATTCTTCTCTTGCTTTTTGTTTCATTCGGTTATAAGAATGCTCCAAATTATGCATTGCAGCGTTCCAAATTGTTTATTTTTTATGTAGTGAAAATTTTGTTAACTTTTTCCCTTACATAACTATTTGCATCAGCCAGTGGCTTTGGCTCCGCGACCAGTGCAAACAACTTCCTGGAAGAATTGCTGTGGCTTATTTGAGGTTTTTGCAGGATCAAATACATAACTTTAGGTGGGAAATGATCCTTCTTTTTGATGTATTCCCTATGCAAATTCCTGTTTACCAGTGAAAGGTTTACAAGAAAAAAATATGGTGTAGCCTTTTATTAGTTGGATATATATACTTTTGGTCGTTTTGTGTCTTATACTTGATTTTGTTGATATAATCACTAGGTGTTTTTTATCTGAAAATAGTTTTTTTGCTGTGTCTTTGAACTGCTACTGTGTGGTTTCATTCATAAGGCATTTCTAAATCATTACCTGATTTATTACAAGAAGAAAAGATGATGATAAGAAAGGTTGTGCAGCCCACAGAAAGCTTCTTAATAGCTGAATATACTGCTGGTTGATTTCATTTCCTCTTGAAATTTTTTAGCAGTCTTTTATACCTCCTAAACTCAATGATTTAATAGTTCTGCACCAGCTTGAAACACACTGTTATATCTACTTATATTCCAACTATTGGTGGCAGTCCTATTATGGCTAGGGATCTTATCTTGGGTGGATTGGGGAAGCCTTAGGTCGTTCTTGCTCTGAAAAACCTTTCAAAAATGATGTAGAAATAACTAGGTGTCTCTCTCCTCGAAGTGACTTGTAAGATACGCGTTAAGTGTTACATTAGGCTAAAAATTTGACGTGGCACGTCTTGCCACATGTTGCACGGCACCCCGTGCCAAGAGGGCATTTTCAGAAACTCAAATTTTCGCCCATCTGTCCCAAATTTGGCCTGGCACGTCGTGCCATATGTCGCATGGCAGTCGTGCCACATGTCGCATGGCATGTCGTGCCAAGGTATTTTTCCCGGAACAGATTGCTGCTCTGCTACCCTTTAGTATAAAAGTAATAACTTCTTGTAAGAATGTCAGAATGATGAACGGTGAAGTTCTGGAAACGAGACACCTAGTGCTTTTATTTGATACATAGCTCAATTTACTATACATTGGGAGATATGATGCTCAATTTACTATACATTGGGAGATATGATTGCTTGAAATTAGGTCATGTGCGTCTATGTTCACTTTCTTCTCGTAAACATTTCCGTTTTGTTCCAAACTACCTCTCCTCCCTTATAGATGTCCATATGACCTTCCAAACATAAGATTTAGGTATTATACACCTTTAGAACTTTTCGAACCCCCATGTGTCTATCTTAGGGTTTGAATGATGACGTAATACTTAGCGAAAGATTTTTCGGGGCATAATGACATTTCTCCTCGACTATCAAACTTGGTTACTCCTTGAATTGAGAGTGAATGTTTAGGCCTTATGTCAAATTCTAATATCCTTTGTGTACCAAAATTTGGCAAGCTCCCCATGTTTTTCGAAAGTTCGGCAAAGTTTACTTTATAACTAGAGTTACACAAATAAATTTCACTTGCCCAAATATCACAATGCAGCATCTCTACATCCAATCACTTGATCCCACAATATACAACATCACCAAGGCATCAATATATACATCAAGGTTATCACTCTCTCTTGTAACAACTGTCGTCCAACTATTAGGGCTGCTAGTGGAATAAACTCACCATGACTCATTAGGCAACTCTTTTTTATGCTTATAAAAGTGCTTGTGCTAATTCATAGAGTCACGTTATTTCTACTTTCATATTCCCATGTCAACATGCGCAACGTTCTTAGCCTTAGCTGTGTCGTGCTCCTTTAACCTCTCCCTCGGGGTTCATTCTCACATCATCAACTCACGCACTCACTTTCTAACTAGGACCTTTGTCCTATACATCCTATATATCTCCCTTGCTCACAAAATATGGTATTTCCGTTTGTAGTGTTACCTTTTACTCAACTAGGTCGACAGTTTGTGATTGGATTCTTGTTGTTGGAGGGTATATCGTTTCTATGTGAAAGACGTATCATAATCAACTCCTCACGAGTTTCCAACAGGTATTGAAACCTCAAAGGAAATTTCTAGTTGTTTGGGTTATTTTCCAAATCCTATAGTAAGGAAGTGTGACACACAAGAAATGGTAGAACCTTGGTCTATCAAAGTATAAGAAAGACGGTCACACTATTAAATTACCCGTGATGACGATATTTGATGCCTCTGCTCTCTGTTAGTCTGTCACGGCCCAAGCACATGGTATGTATTGTCCGCTTTGGACCTAGACCCGCAGGAATTTGTCTTTTAGGCTATGCCAAATCGAGTCCCAACAGTGCGCGTATCATGTGGATTGGTGTTGTACCTTATAAAGCTCTTCACTTTCCTCTCCCATTTCAATATGGAATTTGCCTAAGGTGACATGTGCACCCCTTCTTCAGAAGTTTGCCAAGCTTGCCAACCAAGAAGCTTGCAAGTCCTACTCGAATCGCCCTCGTTTGCCCGCCCTACATTATGGGTGTCACATTCCCCCCCCCCCC